GCTGGGGAGGAAGAGTGAGAGTGAAGATGGCGTCTTACTGACCTGAGGACCGATGATGACCTTGTACTTGTGTGTGGGCGTGTCGCCGCCCACGGTGAAGGAGTTGGGTCCCGGCTGGTGCAGGAGGTACAGCCGCGCCCTCAGGGCCCGCCTCACCCGCCACTGCACCGCCTCCTCACTCAGGGGCGGCCCGCGCGACCCGGGCGACGCGCCGCGACCTCTAGGTGACGTGCCGCGAGGCGAGGGCGGCCGCCATGACCCCGGTGAAGGTGGGCGCGCCCCTGTGGTAGGCGAGGGGGCTCTTCTCGCACCGGGCGAGGGCGGTCTCACCCCACTGGTGGTGGTAGTGGTGGTGGTGGTGGCAGTGGTGGTGAGGGCAGCGGTGGTGATGGCAGCGATGGCGTTGCTGAGACTGTTGGCAGCAGCGGCTATGGTGTTGGGCGAGGGCGGGCGGCGGGCTGAGGGGCTGAGAGGTGAGGTTGGGGTGATGGAGTGGGCGCGGGACGTGGGCGTGGCAGGTGTGGAGGCTCCGGGAGACGTGCCACACTTCTGCCGGAGCTTTACCACCTCGGTCAGCTTGGGCGAGGGGTTCCTGCGGGCGGCGCCGCTGGACGAGGGCGACCGCTGGCGCCTGACACGGGGGGAGGTGGGCGGCGTGGCTCGCTTGGCTGGGGGTGAGGGCGTGACCCGCGTGGAGGCGTGGGCGCCGCGCCCCGGCACGCCCACGCTGCTGCCCCGCGCCACATACCGTCGGGGGCTGGCTGACCTCTGCAACACAAGAATAACAATATTATTGTAATGTAACACATCTGGACACACCTGCACACACCTGGACACATCTGGACACACTTGGACACATCTGGACACACCTGGACACACCTGCACACATCTGGACACACCTGGCCACACCTGCACACACCTGGACACACCTGCACACACACCTGGACACACCTAGCCACACCTGGACACATCTGGCCAAACCTGCACACATCTGGACACACCTAGCCACACCTGGACACACCTGAACACACATCTGGCCACATCTGGACACACCTGCACACACCTGTACACAACCAACACCTTTCTCACACACTACTCAAGGCAAGGCAAGGGAAAGCCCCAAGCCATTACTAGTGTACAGCACATGGAAGGGATCAGGATAAGGATTTGGGATTATCTTGAGGTTATCTTGAGATGATTTCGGGGCTTTTAGTGTCCCCGCGGCCCGGTCCTCGACCAGGCCTCCACCCCTAGGAAGCAGCCCGTGACAGCTGACTAACTCCCAGGTACCTATTTACTGCTAGGTAACAGGGGCATTCAGGGTGAAAGAAACTTTGCCCATTTGTTTCTGCCTCGTGCGGGAATCGAACCCGCGCCACAGAATTACGAGTTCTGCGCGCTATCCACCAGGCTACGAGGCTACGAGGCTACGAGGCCGAGGGATGAGACAACATAAACACTAAAATGGACAACGTAGAGAAGAGTGCAACAAGATTAGTGTCAGAAGAACGAGGGTTAAGCTGTGAAGATATCAAGCAGATATCACATCTATCTGCTTGAAGCTTGAAGATATCAAGCAGATATCACATCTATCTGCTTGAAGCTTGAAGATATCAAGCAGATATCACATCTATCTGCTTGAAGCTTGAAGATATCAAGCAGATATCACATCTATCTGCTTGAAGCTTGAAGATATCAAGCAGATATCACATCTATCTGCTTGAAGCTTGAAGATATCAAGCAGATATCACATCTATCTGCTTGAAGCTTGAAGATATCAAGCAGATATCACATCTATCTGCTTGAAGCTTGAAGATATCAAGCAGATATCACATCTATCTGCTTGAAGCTTGAAGATATCAAGCAGATATCACATCTATCTGCTTGAAGCTTGAAGATATCAAAGCAGATATCACATCTATCTGCTTGAAGCTTGAAGATATCAAGCAGATATCACATCTATCTGCTTGAAGCTTGAAGATATCAAGCAGATATCACATCTATCTGCTTGAAGCTTGAAGATATCAAGCAGATATCACATCTATCTGCTTGAAGCTTGAAGATATCAAGCAGATACCACATCTATCTGCTTGAAGCTTGAAGATATCAAGCAGATATCACATCTATCTGCTTGAAGCTGTGAAGATATCAAGCAGATATCACATCTATCTGCTTGAAGCTTGAAGATATCAAGCAGATATCACATCTATCTGCTTGAAGCTTGAAGATATCAAGCAGATATCACATCTATCTGCTTGAAGCTTGAAGATATCAAGCAGAAGATATGTTCAGGGAACTAAATCTGACAGCCCTAGAGGAGAGAAGAAAGAGAGAGGGGCTATAATCGCAACATACAAGATACTGAAGGAAACAGGCATGATAGACACGACACAGCCTCTTTAATTAAGATAAAGTAGGGGCAAGAAGACACAGGTTGAAGCTACACACACACACACACACACACACACACACACACACACACACACACACACACACACACACACACACACACACACACACACACACACACACACGAGTGGAATTATTCTCAGGAAAAAATAAGTTGTGGAAGCCACCTCCATCCCCAAACTTTCGACAAAGAATTCGAGTGTCAGAATAGCTAAAAATATAACGAAACACGTACATCCAGGAGAGTAGGCGGGGTAGAGAGAGCTAGACCGCACTTCTTCGTTGTAACTGCTAGGTAAACCACCTTACATAACACTGAATGTTTCCTTACATCATTGATAAAGATTAAGCCACCCCAAGAGGTGGCACGGGCATGAATAGCCCGTAATGTCCTTACATGTCTTCCTTCTTACAAAAACAGTATCCCGGCCTTTCAGAGGCAAATGGACAGAGGTTCTTTCACCCTCATGCCCCCTGTTAGCTAGCAGTAAATAGGTACCTGAGAGTTAAGACAGCTGCTATGGGCTGCTTCCTGTGTGTGGGAAAGGGGGGGGGAATTAGTTGGTAGTTAGTAACAGTTGATTGATTGACAGTTGAGAGGCGGGTCGAAATAGCAGAGCTCCAGCCCCGCAAGCACAACTAGGTGAATACACACACACACACACACACACACACACACACACACACACACACACACACGTGTGTGTGAGGGAAACTATGAGGAGATAAGAAAATTCCTAACAGATATAGCATGGGAAACAGAGCTCAGGGAAAAGACGGCCCAAGATATGATGGACTACATCACGCAAAAATGCGAGGCAGCAAACAAGTTTGTCCCAGCCCAAAAGGAAAACAGTGAAATGAAGATGAGAAACCCATGGTTTAATCAGAGATGTAGGCTAGCTAAGCAGCAAAGTAAAAGGGCATGGAGAAACTATAGGAATAACAGGACACTGGAGAGCAGAGACAGATACCAGAATGCCAAGAATGAATATGTCAGGATGAGAAGAGAGGCAGAAAGACAATACGAAAATGACATCGCAAGCAAGGCAAAGACTCAACCTAAATTGCTGCATAGCCACATCAGGAGAAAAACAACAGTAAAGGAACAGGTTATGAAATTAAGGTTAGGGGCGGAAGGATTCACTACAAACGACAAGGAAGTGTGTGAGGAACTGAATAAGAAGTTCCAAGAGGTCTTCACCTTAGAGCAAGGAGAAATCCCAGAGATAAGAGAGGGAATAGCTAAGCAGGAACCACTGGAAGAGTTTGAGATTATTAGCGGGGAAGTAAGGAAGTGTTTACTAGAGTTGGATGTGACAAAGGCTATAGGCCCAGATGGAATCTCCCCTTGGATACTAAAGGAAGGAGCAGAAGAACTGTGCCTGCCACTCTCTATAGTGTATAACATATCACTGGCAACAGGGGAACTGCCAGAAATTTAGAAGGCAGCTAATGTAGTTCCAATATACAAGAAAGTGGATAGGCAGGAGGCACTGAATTACAGGCCAGTGTCCCTAACCTGCATACCATGAAAGCTGATGGAGAAGATTGTGCGAAGAAAGCTAGTGGAGCACCTGGAGCGAAAGAACTTTGTAACACAGCATCAACATGGATTCAGGGATGGCAGGTCCTGCCTCACAGGGTTACTTGAATTCTACGACCAGGCAAGAAAGAGAAGGGTGGGCAGACTGCATATTTTTGGATTGTCAGAAAGCCTTTGATACAGTGCCACACAAGAGGCTAGTGAAAAAGCTGGAGATGCAGGCTGGAGTGAAAGGAAAGGTACTCCGTTGGATACAGGAGTACCTAAGCAACAGGAGACAACGAGTCAGTGTGAGGGGTGAGGTCTCAGATTGGCGAGACGTTACGAGTGGAGTCCCGCAGGGGTCAGACCTTGGACCTATACTGTTTCTGATATATGTAAATGATCTCCCAGAGGGTATAGAATCGTTTCTCTCAATGTTTGCCGATGATGCAAAAATTATGAGGAGGATTGAAACTGAGGACGATAGTAGGAGGCTACAAGATGACCTAGACAGACTGAGTGAATGGTCCAACAAATGGCTGTTGAAGTTCAACCCGAGTAAATGCAAAGTAATGAAACTAGGCAGTGGAAATAGGAGGCCAGACACAGGATACAGAATAGAAGGTGAAGTACTTAATGAAACGGTTGATATCACACCAAACCTGTCTCCTGAAGCCCACATAAAAAGAATAACGTCTGCGGCATATGCGAGGCTGGCTAACATCAGAAGAGCGTTCAGGAACCTGTGTAAGGAATCATTCAGAATCTTGTACACCACATATGTAAGACCAATCTTGGAATATGCGGCCCCAGCATGGAGCCCGTACCTTGTCAAGCACAAGACGAAGTTGGAAAAAGTCCAAAGGTATGCCACTAGACTAGTCCCAGAACTAAGAGGCATGAGTTACGAGGAAAGGCTGCGGGAAATGCACCTTACGTCACTGGAAGACAGAATAGTAAGGGGAGACATGATCACAACCTACAAAATCCTCAGAGGAATCGACCGGGTAAACAAGGATGAACTATTCAACACTGGTGGGACGCGAACAAGGGGACACAGGTGGAAACTGAGTACCCACATGAGCCACAGAGACGTTAGAAGGAACTTTTTCAGTGTCAGAGTAGTTAACGGATGGAATGCATGCATTAGGCAGTGATGTGGTGGAGGCTGACTCCATGCACAGTTTCAAGTGTAGATATGATAGAACCCAGTAGGCTCAGGAACCTGTACACCTGTTGATTGACGGTTGAGAGGCGGGACCAAAGAGCCAGAGCTCAACCCCCGCAAGCACAATTAGGTGAGTACACACACACCAAATAATTAGTTAGTAACAGTTAATTGATTGACAGTTGAGAGGCGGGACCAAAGAGCCGAAGCCCAACCCCTGCAATACAGAACCAGGTGAATACATTCATCCTCACTCTCTCTACTCATGTACTCTACCCGAGGTAAACTTCAATTCCAAGTCACTCCCCTGGAAACACAAACCGAAACTGTCTCTATTTTCCGTTTATTAAAACTTGTAATAAAGTTGTTACATCTTGGCTTAACGTGTTTATGACGTATTAGAACGTTGTTACAACTTGTTATATTGGTTGTTATAACTGGTTAGGTGGTGTTAAAACTTGTTCGAACGTTGTACCAACGTCGTAGTTCCGGTGTGTGTTTGGCGGGTCCCCATTACCTGTGTGAATTTACCCCAAGATAACCCCCCCTACGGGCTCACCATAGCCCGTGCTGCTTGGAACATTTTGTTCCAATTAACGAATCTTAAACAACAACTGCCCTACTACCTGTTCTCTTGGCCAAGGTCAACCTCAGTGCCCGTGTCCAGTGTCAACACCGCCCCCCCCCCCTCTCCCCCTTCCCCGATATATTTGGTAACGTGACAATCATCATGTAATGTATATGTGTGTGTGTGTCCGGGGGCTTACCTAACCCAGTTTACTGGCCCCAGAGCTTCACGGCCTCTCTACCCTCCACCTCCAACACTCACACACAGGGGGGAGATGAGAGAGAGATGAGAGAGAGAGAGAGGGAGATGAGAGAGAGAGAGAGAGAGAGAGAGAGAGAGAGAGAGAGAGAGAGAGAGAGAGAGAGAGAGAGAGAGAGAGAGAGAGAGAGAGAGAGAGAGAGAGAGAGAGACAGACAGAGACAGAGAGAGACAGAGAGAGAGACAGAGAGAGCGAGAGACAGAGAGAGCGAGAGACAGAGAGAGAGAGGATTGACTGGGAACAAATCCCTTTACCCTTGTACCCACCTACCTACTACCTTGTAGTACAAGACAAAGACACAGGAGATAAAGCACCAAGGGCTCACCTCTCTATGGAGCTGCTGCCTCACAGGTGAACACTTGGGAGACGACCTTGGCGAGGTCTTTGGGGAGGTCCTGGGGGAGTCCCTAGCCGGCTGGGGGCGAGTCCTCGTGTGCCCACTGGTCCTAGGGTCAGGGGACCCAGGACGCCGCCTGTGGGACCCCAGCAGAGGAGGGCCAGGCCCCACTGGTGACCGCGCCTGAGGAAGGCAATGTAACACCTGTCATTAGTGAAGATCCTGTGAGTGAGGTGCTATATCTATCTCTTCAATTAAATAACTCCCTACGCATTACCCTATCAGCTGAATTGCAACGTACCAGAACCAACAACTTGCGTGAGCAAATTGGCCAGCTAAAGGGGTGATCAGTAGAGCAGATGGGTGTGGGTGAGGCAGACAGCTGTACAAACACACACAGCCTACTACACACGCTTCTCTTCCGTCTGGGCTTCGTGCTATCACTAATGTCTTATGACGATCATTATCACGCGCGCGCGCGCACACACACACACACACACACACACACACACACACACACACACACACACACACACACACACACACACACACACACACACACACACACACACCGGCAGCTGGAAAGGCGGGGCCCAAGAGATAATGCTCAATCCAGTAGGCACAAATAGGTAAGTACACACACACAACCTTGAGGCAGTGACAACTAGGCTGTTGGACTTGGTTGGACGCGGCTGCTCGCAGTCTGACCTCACAAGAGATGATTGATTGATGAAGATTAAGCCACCCAAGAGGTGGCACGGGCATGAATAGCCCGTAAGTGGTGAATTTTTCGGAGTGAATGTGAGGTTTGGTTGTGGAAGGATATACTGTGTGCTGAGGTCGCGTCTCACAAGAGATTACTACACAAACCTGAGAGAGGGGGGGGGGAGAGAATCCTGGTTGCTGGACTGGTCAACCAGGCTGTTAACGAGAGTTTAGAGAACTGAAAAGTAACAGGTGTATATCCGGCACTGGAAACACTTTTCAAAGATTTCGCCTAACAGTCCGCATTTCGTCCACCACCGAGCTACAGCCTACGCTGATATGTTGCTCAAACAATATGCAAGTGCTTTACACACAGAGGTCACACTAACGTGATGCATCATATGAACAAATCCATAAGGGCTGTGACGAGGATTCGAACCTGCGTCCGGGAGCATCCCAGACACTTCGACTGAGCTACGACAGGGTGAAAACTCTTTTTAACCCTGTCGTAGCTCAGTCGATTAAGGCAGTGTCTGGGATGCTCCCGGACGCAGGTTCGAATCCTCGTCACAGCCCTTATGGATTTGTTCTGTACACCAGTTGATTGAGAGGTGGGACCAAAGAGCCGAAGCTCTTCTCCTAACTAGGTGAGTACACATACACACATAATACACACATGGATGTATTGAATACATCTCATGTATTCAATACATCCGTGAACATCCTGACGGATGAGGCGGTTAATGTGGCGCGGGTGCCACATCTACCATGATGGCGGTGTTGCCTCTAGTATTGTTTACATAATTACTATTCAATTTAATTAAAAATGGTATTGATATTATTGTCATCATTACTGCTCGATTGTTTACATTCTGTCGCAATAACACTCAAGGAAATACATACAGATTTATACAACTAAGATGAGTATAAGTAGAACAAAATCTGTATAGATGTCACAAACAATACAGGATCATCAGCTGATGCCGTAGTCAACACTTCAACAACTGCGTATCACGTCACTATAGTGCCATAGGTGTATAGGATAACAAAGGAGTACAAAGGTCCACAAAGCAACACATAAGCCAGAAGCTTCCATTACACAAGTCAAAGCATGAATTAAGAGCACAACTGGCAACTCCCCCACGCAGCGCCTCCCTTACCAACAAATAATCCCATTATATCAACAATCCCAAGCAACAAATCCCAATAAAATATTATAATCCCCCCGCGCCTCTCCCCGGAGGAGAAGTTACGACAAAGGCAGGTCGGCGCATATTTATAAATTACCTTCATTTAAAATTCAAAACAAAACGTCGTACCCGTCAGCCATCTTGGTCGACCCCCGCTACAAGGAACCTCACCAGCAGACCGGCTATAAGGTTGCCGACTTGACAATTATCTTTTATTCTCTGCTTATCTCACACACACACACAGTAATCCACACCAGTATATATAAATCATCTAACTATTCATCAACCTATAGCCTCTACTAGTATGCGCTAGAATATAGAGGTAGAAGAAGCACCTAAATTCTCTCGTTCAAAATTTGGCGATGTCATGACTCTTTTGCTTGTTGCCAACTTCTCGATTATCATGCGTTTCCGACATATTTTTTTGTAGTTCCCGCAGCACATGTACAAAAACCCACAAATGCATAACCTTGCAATTTATCATGTCGACGGTTTTTGCATTTGCTCCACCGCCGAAAGGGCGGCAGTTTAGCAGAAAATTCGCCAAGCGTAATTATCATCATTATGTTAGTTAAAATTAATTAGTATTGCTCCAGCCGCCAACCGGAAGTCTCTCTCTCTCTTATTATTAGTGAAAATGACGCTAACATTACCATACTGTAGTATGAATCCTGGTCACCTCATGTACCACACAGTATTGGATTATGTACAAGTGTTTTCAAAGACGGCCGCGTCTTAGATACAAGTCCATGAATATTTCAAACTCTTAACGTCTATCTGAGGAGAGGATACCGAGCCGCGCACCACGAACCTAATATGAACGTTGCATGAATGTTACTGGATGATCTAATGTATCTGGTGCTGAAACTACGAGGTCATTGGCGCAGCAGGAACGTAACAGCAACACAGCCGGTCGGTCGAGCGGACAGCACACTGGACTTGTGATCCTGTGGTCCTTGGTTCGATCACGGCGCCTGATCCTGTGGTCCTTGGTTCGATCCCGGGCGCCGGCGAGAAACAATGGGCAAAAGTTTCTTTCACCCTATGCCCCTGTTACCTAGCAGTAAACTAGGTACCTGGGTGTTAGTCAGCTGTCAACGGGCTGCTTCCTAGGGGTGGAGGCCTGGTCGAGGACCGGGCCGCGGGGACACTAAAGCCCCGAAATCATCTCAAGATAACCTCAAGATAGCACTAAGCCGGATCAACAGGGGGTTGGACTGGATATGTGGGCCTGAAGCCTGCTCCAAGCACCAGCCTGTTGGACCAAGTCGTCACGAGTCAAGCCTGCTCCAAGCACCAGCCTGTTGGACCAACTCGTCACGAGTCAAGCCTGCTCCAAGCACCAGCCTGTTGGACCAAGTCGTCACGAGTCAAGCCTGCTCCAAGCACCAGCCTGTTGGACCAAGTCGTCACGAGTCAAGCCTGCTCCAAGCACCAGCCTGTTGGACCAAGTCGTCACGAGTCAAGCCTGCTCCAAGCACCAGCCTGTTGGACCAAGTCGTCACGAGTCAAGCCTGCTCCAAGCACCAGCCTGTTGGACCAAGTCGTCACGAGTCAAGCCTGCTCCAAGCACCAGCCTGTTGGACCAAGTCGTCACGAGTCAAGCCTGCTCCAAGCACCAGCCTGTTGGACCAAGTCGTCACGAGTCAAGCCTGCTCCAAGCACCAGCCTGTTGGACCAACTTGTCACGAGTCAAGCCTGACCCCGGGCTTTGTGAGTAAAACAACTCTCACAACTCATTCATGGAAGACAGAAGCATGTGCGTGATGATGAATTGATCAATAACCATCAAGTCATCATAACCAAGTGTATATACACGTCTTGGCTGGACACCGCGGACAGTAAGGATCAAACCGGAGGGGACACAGCTCTGTTACCACAGAGGCCCATCATTTACCCCATACTCTCGAAAACAGACAAAAACATGGATAACCTCACCACATTTTAAAGCTTTACCATGACGTGCAATAAGAAAACAGCATCTTGCAAAATACAAGTAACCTTCAAAAGAAGGCATCTTCTTGAGGTTATCTTGAGATGATTTCGGGGCTTTTTAGTGTCCCTGCGGCCCGGTCCTCAACCAGGCCTCCACCCCCAGGAAGCAGCCCGTGACAACTGACTAACACCCAGGTACCTATTTTACTGCTAGGTAACAGGGGCATAGAGTGAAAGAAACTCTGCCCATTGTTTCTCGCCGGCGCCTGGGATCGAACCCAGGACCACAGGATCACAAGTCCCGCGTGCTGTCCGCTCGGCCGACCGGCTCCCTTTATATCACGATATAAAGGCATCACGATATATCTGTAACTCTCACTCTTAACGGGCCCTAGTTGACGAGGCCGCGTTACACATCACGTTGACACATCACTTCCCCGTAGACGGGGAGCCGGTCGGCCGAGCGGACAGCACGCTGGGCTTGTGATCCAGTGGTCCCGGGTTCTATCCCAGGCGCCGGCGAGAAACAATGGGCATAGTTTCTTTCACCCTGTGCCCCTGTTACCTAGCAGTAAATAGGTACCTGGGTGTTAGTCAGCTGTCACGGGCTGCTTCCTGGGGGTGGAGGCCTGTTCGAGGACCGGGCCGCGGGGACATTAAAAAGCCCCGAAATCATCTTAAGATAACCTCAAGACAGACGCTGATTGAAATTGAAATAAGTTTATTGAGGTAAAATACACACAAAGGGATGAGGTAGCTCAAGCTATTCTCACCCCGTTCAGTACATCGTGTTAATACATACATAGACACACATCACAAACAATAAACATATTACCGAACATTGTGAGAGACTGATAGGTAAGTACTATGGAGTTATCATAAGCCTCAGTAAAGTAGACTGCAGATCTGGCATAAGGCACCTGGAGCTTTGCAGTTACTTTATTACCTCTCGTGTTCTTGAGGATATCCTCATAATACATCTAGAGTTTGCCAGTGCAGACTACTGATAACATGGTCCTGTGTGGCTAACCATCCTGTGTGATGGGGATTTTTAGCATTACGTACCTAGTTTTTTGACACATGCTGTATGTACTCCCCTTCATATAGTCTAGGGGGTAGCTAGTTCTTGACACACACTGTACTGCCCTTCATATAGTCTAGGGCAGCTAGTTCTTGACACACACTGTACTGCCCTTCATATAGTCTAGGGCAGCTAGTTCTTGACACACACTGTACTCCCCTTCATATAGTCTAGGGCAGCTAGTTCTTGACACACATTGTACTCCCCTTCATATAGTCTAAGGTAGCTAGTTCTTGACACACCCTGTACTCCCCTTCATATAGTCTAGGGGTAGCTAGTTCTTGACACACACTGTA